TAAAAGTCCCAAAGCTCATTAAAGTGTTAAAAGAGGAAACCTGCTCTGGCTGGAGTTGCTGTGTGTTCCTTGTGCCTGTGAACACCAGGACACTGCCTGCATTGCTCCAACTGCTTCTTTGGACATTTAAGAGCAAAGTTTGGATCTTGGGGCAGGGAATCAGGTCCAGCAGGACTTTGTGTCATTTCTGAATAGAACTGAAGTTCTTACATTTGGTTTTCCTGCATCAGGAGAACATGTTGGGGGTCTTAGATGTGCAGAATCAGCAGCATAGACTGGTTTGGGTTGGGAGGGACCTTAAATCCCATCTCATTCCACCCCCTGCCCTGGGCAGGGACACCTCCTACTAGCTGAGGTTGCTCCAAGCCCCATCCAACTTGCCCTGCAGTGTGCTGTGTGACAAAGTGCTCCCATGTGATGCCACTAAACCTGCAGTGAGCCCTGGTGACATCTTCCATCACCTCCAGTGCGTGTCAGGTCCAGCTCTCCTCTTCACTCACATAATTCTCCTGTCAGACCCTTCATGTGGGATACATAGATCTGTATTTTGTGGATAATCATTGATTTTAGGGATAATAAATACCTGTTTGGGCTCAAGGCTAGCTCTCCCTCCTGACCCATCTCACATAGGGATGGAAGTGAAGGGCATTGGTAAAACTCCAGCTGAGCTGAGTCTCTGAGCACCCACTCCAAAAAGCTTTTCCCAGCAAAGCACTTACACATATTTAGGAAATTGATATGAAGTAAGTTCCAGTAATTTATTTCCAAGTCAGAAATTAGGCATTTATTTTAAGTGCCCTTCTCTGTGGGGATGAACCACAGGAGAGGATTGAACAAGGACCCACCACAGGGAGAGGAAACCTACACACATGAGGCACAAACCGAGTGCTGCTGAAGATATATAATCATAGCTTTTCTCTATTATTGTATATAACCATTATTTAGGAGATCTAAAAATGACAAATACATTTGAAATGACTAGTCTTACACGAGGTTTTCCTGTTACCATCACTGTTAGGTTTTAGTGCAGCATCTCTGTCAGCCCAATGTTTGCTGGGATAATCCTCCCTTGGGAGCTCTTGGGGCTGTCACCCCTTTCCCTCCCCCTGCAGCCTCTGCCAGGCTTCCCTCTCTCCTGCTGCTTTGAGACAAGGTGTTATTTTCTTGCTGGCTTGTTTTTTATTGTTTATAACAAAGTGCTCCTAGTGCTCAGACACATCTGTGTCTACAACACAAGGAGAATCGCTGCCCACAGACCTAGTGGAGGGAAAACCCAAGGAAGGTTTCTGTTGTGAGAGCCTGAGGGAAGGCTGGAGCTGGAAGCTCACTGTCCCACTAGCCTCAGCTTCTGTGGTGTTCAGTCTTTAACCAAATTTCTCTTCTTTTCCCACATTTTCCCCACCTGTAATTATTTAAAATGTATTAAAGCTGCTCTTTCTTTTTAAACTTTCATCAGGTCTTTAAGCCTGTGTCCCTCTACCTATCCCTTTATCCCTCTCCTCCTGTTCCCATGTATTTATCCCTGTATACCTCTCCTCCTGTGTCCCTCTGTATTTATCCCTGTATCCCTCTCCTCCTGTTCCCACTCAGGACTTCAGTGGGACCTGTGTGATCAGTCCTCTGAATGGAACAGGATTGTGCCAGTAATGATTTTCTGTAAGAGTTTAAGTAATTGCTATTAAGCTCCTGAATGAAAACCTTTTCCTAGCTGGGCAGTGTTTATCCTTGTTTATCCCTGAGCAGCTGGAACAGCCTGGGAGCAGCTGTCAGGGTGGGCGTGGTGGAGTCTTGCCTGCTGCAGCATGGACAGAGGTGCTGGTGGCACTGGGAGTGCTCCTGCTGGCCTTGCAGGAAGGCTGCCAGGGACTTTGGAAGGCATTTAATAGGATTGGGACTTAGGATTTAAATCAGCCCTCTTGGTAATTTAAGAGGTCAAGTTGGATGGGGCTTGGAGCATTCTGAACTAGGTGACAGTTGTCCCTGCTAGTGGAAGGTGCCCCTGCCCATGGCAGGGGTTAGAATGAGAGGAGATTTAAGGTCCCTTCCAGCCCAAAACATTCTGGGATTCTATGATTATCCTTCATCCCTCTCTTCTCCTGGCTGGTTTGGCTGATGCTGCACATCCCCAGTGAGCTGGGAACTCTGGGTGTTGAGGAGATCATTCACCAAATATCCAATGTCTGTTGGGTAACAGTGAAGTCAGAATTGAACTGAACCTTGTGAGCACTTGTTAACCTGATCTATGAGCTTTCCTCTTGCTAAATTAGATGTATTTACATCAATATCCTGTTCCTCATGTTATCACCTCAGAGTCTCCAGGATGAGAGGAAATGGCATTAAGTCGGGGTGTTGAGGAGATCATTCACCAAATATCCAATGTCTGTTGGGTAACAGTGAAGTCAGAATTGAACTGAACCTTGTGAGCACTTGTTAACCTGATCTATGAGCTTTCCTCTTGCTAAATTAGATGTATTTACATCAATATCCTGTTCCTCATGTTATCACCTCAGAGTCTCCAGGATGAGAGGAAATGGCATTAAGTCGGGCCAGGGAAGGTTTAGATTGGAAGAAAAAATTCTGATCTATGAGCTTTCCTCTTGCTAAATTAGATGTATTTACATCAATATCCTGTTCCTCATGTTATCACCTCAGAGTCTCCAGGATGAGAGGAAATGGCATTAAGTCGGGCCAGGGAAGGTTTAGATTGGATATTAAGAAAAACTTCGCAGAAAGGTTGCCAGGAATTGCCCAGGGCAGGGGTGGAGTCACCAGCCCTGGAAGTGTTTAAAACCCATGTGGATGTGGCACTGGAGGATGTGGTTTAATGGTGATCATGGTGGTGGTGCTGGTTAATGGTTGGACTTGATGTTCTTAGAATTCCAACCTTAATGATTCTATGATTCTACAAAAATCTTTTATGCAGGAGCCCACACGTGCAGCCCCAGCAGCCCGGGGCGGGGGGGGGCGTGGAAGTGCAGACAACTGCAGCATGGCTGAGCAATGAGCACAAATCACAGATTTCTCCTCAAGAATGAGTCCTTGTTGCCTATGTGAAAAAACATTAAAGAATATATCTGAAATACTGGAGAACTGAGAATCTCTCCCAGATGTGTGTCTCTTCCCTTTTCAAGACAGACCTTGGCAGTGATTGCAGCCGGTTTTAGGTGTGTGATTTCATATAGAGTGACTCAGTCTTCTACCCCAATGGCAGCAGGAGGAGCTGATGAATTTTTGGCTCAGCTCATTACTGATCATTGCTCCAGGAACACTCCTGCACCCTGTAGTTTGTCTTGAGACCAAAACCAAGACAATAACCTGACAATGAAAAATCCAAGAGGTTGGTGGCTCCAAGCAATCTCCAGTCTGAGTTTTCAATACCTGTACTAACCTGGGATTTTCCAGAAAGGTGAATATTGATTTTAGTTTGTATTCTGAACAAACAGAAGCTGAAATCCTTCTGAAAGGGAGATCTAAGAAACTTCTCAGAAGTTTTCCAGTCTTTTCGAAGCAGAACTCAGACAGCAAAGCCTGGAATTGTGATCTGTCACTGGGCTGCAGATCCCCTTTCCCTGACATCCCCTTCCCAGCTGCACCAGGCACGCAAGGCCTGGGGCTCCTGCCTGAAAAAGCAGCATTTTAATGCATCATTTCATTAAATAACATATTATCAATGATGTTCTGCATTTCTGTAAAAAAACCCAACCAGCCAACCAAACCAAAAAAGCCCCAAAACCCTCAAAATATCAAGCCACAGGTGATCAGGCCCCAGGGAGAAGCAAGACCAAGCCACAGGTGAACAGGGAGAAGCATGAAGGTGGTACTTGTTAGACAAAAGCTCTTTGTTCATGACTCAGACCTTTGCTCAGCCCTTATTTTCTCTTCGAGTGGCCACCTCTGTCCCACAGGATGAGTCAGGGTGGGCTGCAGCCCCACATTGTGGCATGGGGAGTGAGATGGGGTGAGAAGCAACCGTGAGACACTCAGAGCATTCCCTCTACATAAACACCTTCAAGCATCTGGAAAACTGCTGAGGAAAAAAAACCAAACAGATTTTTATTTATAAGTTGTGTGGTTTGGTTTTTATAGCCTTTTGATGATGCACATAAATTATTGTTTCAAACCAGCGAACGTAAAGAGATGCCAGGGCCGAGGCAGTTGTTGCCTTTGATAATCTCTTTCCTGAGGAATTTGCTGTGCTTTAGTTTCAGCTCACAGTTGTCTTTTGCTGGAAAACCTGACAATTGCTTTTTAACTTTGTATCTGTAGTTCTGAGCTCAAGATGTTCCTGACTATTTACAGTGTTTACTGTTTAAAAAGACAAAGTACATTGGCTGAAACAACTCTGTATCCAGCAGGTGCTGGGAAAGTCACTGTTCCACCATATTTATTGTTGACTCCTAATTTTGAGAGTTTATTCCTTTGATATGCAAAACAAGGTGTCAAAGGCCACCTGAGCTATGAAGTTTGTTGGTGTTTGCAGGTGGCATGATGCAGGAGATAAGCATTGAGGACTCTGCAGCCTGGGCACTGTCATACCCTCCTGGTGTTGGGGTGTCCTTGGCTGAGCCCAATGGGAACTCACAGCCTTTCACTGCTCCAGTGTTGAGGTTTCATGTGCTTTTTTCCACTTCTCAGGATTTAAATACTTCTTATATGCCACTAATGCTTATAGTTATGATTTACATTGAGTAAGCTTGTTGGAAAATCAGCATTTTTCTGGCTTGGATTGATATCTCGTCATGTCTCAGTTGTGTTTTTACGCCAGACACACAGAATGTAGCTGGGGATCACAGGCACACAGACTGTACCTGGGACTCACAGACACACAGAACGTAGCTGGGACTCTGCAGTGTGAGCAAACTTTCTCTCTGCTGGAAGCCGATGTGACTGAGTGTGATCCTGGAGACCAAGCAGCAAGCTGGGTGTGCTGAGGAGCAGCAGTGTGGAATAATCTGCCTAACCACATGCAAATGTCCATTTTTACAATTCTTTTTTTTCAGTTGCCCCCACAATTCAGGAACTTAAATCCAGCACTGTGATGCTTGGCGGGAGCGGCCTGATACGCTGCGAAGGTGCAGGAGTGCCTGCCCCGATCTTTGAGTGGTTCAAAGGAGAGAGGAAGTAAGTAGCCTGTGCTCGCTGCCCCTCATGCTGCTGCCTGCCCTTGGGGACCAGGGGCAAGAGAGAGGAGCCTGCCAGGCTGGGTTTGTCCCCAGGATGACAACTCCAGCAGGCTGTCCTGAAACTGATGCTGAGCTCAAACAATGGATGTTGGAGGTGCTGACTTCCAGCAGCCACGTGGCACAACTGCTCCCTTTCCTTCTGCTTGTAGCTCTTGTTCTGGGCTCTGAGAGTGAGAATTGCAGTAACAAGCCTAACATTGAAATGTGCATCAGTAATTACAGCCTTTTAAAGTGTAATAACCAGAAAAGCACTGACAAAATCTACTAAGAGGATTTTATATTCTGAGCTGGAAGAGACCCGCAAGGTTCATCGAGGTCCAACTCCTGCCCTGCACAGGACACCCTGTGCCTGAGAGCTTTGGCCAAACAATCCTTGAGCTCTGTCAGGCTTGGGGCTGTGACCACTGCCCTGAGGAACTGTTCCAGTGCCCAAACACCCTCTGGGGGAAGAACCTTGTCCTGATATCCAACCTAACCCTCCCTTGACACAACTTTATTCCATTCCCTTGGGTCCTGATTTTAATTTATTTCTCGGTTTCTGCCTGAGGGGTTTGAGGGTGTGAAGGTTGTTAGATGAGCAAGACATCAACCAAACCTGCCTGTGAATGGATTTTCACCCAGCTGTGCATTGGTGGTTTAGTCCATGGGCCTATATTCCACGGGGTCCTCAAGTCACAGCATCCAAGAAGGGATCTGGGAGTGCTCCCTGCATGAACCCTAAAAGCTGACTGGTTTGGGTTTGTTTGCAGCCAGACTCACTCTCAGGTCATTAGTACTTTGAAACAGTAACAGGCACCTCTGTAGAGTCATCTTTATTTAAAACCAGCTAATTAAACAGGAAGATATGTTTCTTTTTTAATAGATCATTTTGATTTACAGCTCTTGGTGTACCCAAGAGCTCATTTCTCTCAGGTTCTCGTGTTGGTGCAAAAGCAAGTGGTTATTTTCTCTCATAACTGACTGTCAAACTCCCGGAATTTCCCAGCTTCCAAGCCTTGGGTTTCTCAGCTCAAGCCTCCCATTAAACCTGGGAGCTGACACGAGAATATGAATGATGCTGTTTCCCAGAAAGCCATGCATGAGCTCATTTCTCAGGGCTCAGCTGCTCCCATCCCACAGCATCAGCTGCTCAGCCTCCTTCTGAGCAACCACAGCTGTTGCCCTCAGGCCATAGCCTAAAGCCTTCTCAAAAACTGACCTCTACTCTCTCACACAGTATATATTTTTCCTCTGTTGGTGAAATCCACCTGCATCCTGTTTCCAAAGGTGCAGGTTGTGCTATACCCATCTCATGGGGAGTTGCAGCAGAAACATACTTTATGTAGGAACAGTTTCAGCACAGGTTTTAGCACTCGGGATTCATTTAGCCATTTCCAGCATGTTAATCACCTTTCTATTTATAACACTGACCAAACTCTGTTCCCTGAGAGCACATTTGTGTCACAGCAGCAGGAAAGGTGAAGCAGAGCATTTCAGGACACCAAAGTTGTCTTTCTCTTTCTGTTTCAGTTGGTGTTTCACCTCCACAAGAAACACACTGTTCTCTTGGGTCTTGCTGCTGAAATATTGTGTTCAGTCTCATGCTCCATCCTTTTAGGAGTTTGGCTTTGATGATCCTGGAGGGTCCCTTCTAACTCAAGATATTCTGTGAACTGTTGTTGGCAGATGTGCCAGATGTAGGTGACTACAGAGATACTGAGGATCTCTGATCCCCCATCACTTGCAGGAAAGAGAGAAATACATATACATTGTTTTCCCCTCCAGTATATCCCCTTTCCCTCTGGATGACAGAGAGTCAGCACAGGATGAGACTGGAACAGCTCAGTCATTGCTGTAATGCAAAGCTGAGGAGATTGAGCTCTCAGAGGTAGCTCAGAGTAGCAGCTACATTATCCTGCAGATAATTTGCAGCTATATTCCAATATTACAGTTATACCCTGGAAGTGCACACCATGCTGTCCTTTCTGCTAACAGGATTGAGAGAATCCCATTCTTTTTCAGATACTCTTGGACTGGGACTTCTTATTTTGGGGCTATCTGGATGAATTGTTGAATAAATTAACAGTGGGAATTAGCCCATAAACCTTAAGTTTTTGTTGAGTGCCTGAAACAAGCCTCTTGGGTCTCTAAACTGTATGATTGTTACTTAGATTAATGTAAATCCAAAACACAGTTTCCAGACCCCAGGGATCATCTCATCATAAAATAACCATTAAAACTAAATATTAAGACAGTAGCAGACTGCATTAAGTAAAACTATTGGTCTTCAAGGCAGAGAGATCAAATTCTGCCTAATCACTGAGTTTCTAAGAGGCTCTGTTTGATAGCTCTCTGTAGGTGCTGGCACACAGGGTGGGGTGAGCTGGGCAGGGACAGAAAATCTGGGGGGAGGAGTTAGTGAAAGCATCTTAAATTCAAAACAGAAACATCAAATGGTTTGAGGTTTGAGCTGGAAGAGATCTTAAAACTCATCTCATTCCATGCCCTGCCATGGACAGGGACAACTTTCACTAGCTCAAGTTGCCCCAAGCCCCATCCAACCTGGCCTTGAGCACCTCTATGGATGGGGCACTTCCAGGCTGGGGCATTATTTGCATGTGTGGCTGCTAAAACTCTAGAATTCCCTGTGAAGGGGAGAATGGCTCCACTGTGCCAATTCCATTGCTGAACTCCACGTCTGCTCATTATGTTCTGTTACAGAGTCACACAGCAGTTAGACACTAAACAGTCACGGAGAAGAAGAAGCCCAAAATGTCACCTAACTAAAATATTAAAGTATTAATTCCCTTATCCTTCCCAAAGCAAACAAGACTTACATCTGAACAAAGCAAACCTCATTATAATAGCTTAATGTATTATAATAACATGAAGGTATTCAAAGATGAACCCAAAGGCAGGTGCCCTCGGGGTTGTCATTGGGGCATGAGATTTGGATGTGTAGGTGTAATCTCTGAATGAAAAGGAAATCACCCTTCCCTTTATACCTGGCACAAAGCAGGAAGGTGAAGAAATGAGTAGGGTGGCTGCACCAACCTTAAAATGCAGTTCCAGCTGGGGAAGTACGTGAGTGAAATCCAGACAAGTGATGAATGTGTGCTCAGTCAGTCAGCGAAGCAAAGCAGCACACGGGAGCAATTAGTGCCCAAGGAAAAGCATCTGCTCCTCACAACTGTAACTGGAAACCCTCAGAACTGCTGAGTTTGTGCTAACTAACACTGGCTCCTCGGTCCATCAGTTGTGTGGCTTGTTGATATGCGCATCTACCTGCTTTCATTTACTGCAGAACTTCCAGTTCTGGACCCCAGTGTCAGCCACTTCCCAACAGGGACATGGAGGGAAGGTGATGTGGGAGAGGAAGGAGGGTGAGAGGCACGGAACGGCTCTGAGCTTGCACCCACAGCACTCATCCTCTCAGCATCCTGAGGAAGGCAGCAGGTCATGTCAAGCAGACACAGTTAATTTTGTGAGATAAATGTAACCCCTGACAGGGCATGGAGACAGCAAAAATCCCAAAATCCCATTGTTTTGTGGACAAAATATGAGTTAAACCTTATGACTGTAAAATAGAGAGGTTGTAGTTCAAACTGTGGTTATGGGCCAATAATGTGGAGGTGGCTTGGAAAGAGCTGGTAGGGACCATAGAATCCCAGAATGGTTTGGGTTAGAAGAAACCTCAAAGCTCATCCCATTCCACTTCCTTCCATGGACAGGGACATCTTCCACCTGCCCAGGTTGCTCCAGGTCCTGGGACCTGGCCTGGGATACTACCAGGGATGGAGCAGCCACAGCTGCTCTGGGCAATCTGTACCTGTGCCTCACCACCCGCACAACAAAAGCCATAGGTGGACATGGAGCTATCACTCCAGTACCCCAAGTTCCCCTGGAAGAAGGGAGGGGACAAGCCCTGAAAGTCAGAGGGATGGGATGGTGGCCATGCCTGCAGTTTGTGCTCTCCTGCTGTCACTGGTTGTGAGCCATAGTGTGCTAGCATGGGAGCACAACAACAGGGTGGGCTTGGGAACAAGGAGGCTCTTGAGTTTGCTACAGGAGAGATGGGAGCAGAGGGACAGACATTGGTGGTTTATGAGGAGAACATCCATGTGCAAACACACGTGCAAAGGCTGAACGCACAAACCTCTGCCTTGCACAAGTCTGGTGGAAAGATGAATCTCCTAACTGCAGTGTTCACCCCAAACCAGGCATCTCAATCCCCTTTCTTATGCTTCATGCCAAACCCCATGTGTCCATGGCATGTGTCATGGCCTCTCCCCAACCATGGGCTGCACAGAGCAGAGCAGAGTCCCTTACAGCAACACAAGCTGCACAGGGAAGAGAAATGCCCATGTGTGAAGCAGCCTGTAGTGATCCAGTGGGAAAGGAGGCACTCCTGTAATGAGGAGTGTTCAGTCCACAATGTGCAGAAGTGCAATTAATGACAGATTTGTGAAGGGTTTTAGAAAAAATGCTACAAGATTGCATTCGTTCCCAGGATATATGATTAGAACTTTCAATATCCCAGACAAAACCTGTATTCTTAATTCCAAACTCTGCTCCTTGTGCGAAATATGAGGAATAATCAGTAATAACTGCAGCAGGTTTTTTAATAACGTGGTTACCCTTCTCATCTCCTTGTTTAATCAGATGTGGTTTGCCTGCAACAACATCATTTAAGCTGGTCATCTGGCTTTGCCCCAGTGCATCAGTGATGCCTCTGTCATGGCTTTGGGAGAAATATCAAATCACCTGCACAGTTCCTATGAAATTTGGGACGGGAAGCTCAAAGCTGGATGAAAAGAGCCCTGATTTGGCTTTTTTTCCTGTGCTTCATTACCTGGTTTCTACCCAGGGTGCTGACTCAGCAACTGGTGCTGCTGCTGTAGCACATCATTCCTAATTGCAAGTCGCAGCTGTAGAGCCCTGGAAAACAAACTGTGGTCACAATCCTATGAAGACACATTTCTGGCTCCTAATCCTCACCTGCCATCAGCTGGAGGTGTGAAAGGACACAACAAACTACAGAGCCTGAAAAAACACTTTTTGAAAGACTTACCATAACCCTTTTCTGCCCCAAACAGGGTATTTAAATTCCAAATTAGGTTTGTCCAGTTTAGAACCTGAGCTCTCCAGGCAGGCAGGACTGTGGGTCTTTATTTCCTTTCAGCTGTAGGAGACCTAGGCAGCAGCTATTCCCCTCAGTCCTCCCAGCTCCAGCATTGCCCATGGCCTCTCTGATGTGTAATTTTGCTCAGCAGAGGACATTGGCAGCTGGCAAACAGCTCATGGTGCTGCCAGTGCTGTCTGTGAGACAAGAGAAAAAAGAGATATAAAAGAAATCATTGCTTATGGTATGTGAGTTATAGACATTTTCTTTTTGCTTTCTAGACTGATCAATGGTCAACAAGGAATCACTATTAAAAATTATAGTACAAGATCACTTCTTACTGTTAACAATGTGACAGAAGAGCACTTTGGCAACTATACATGTGTCGCTGCCAACAAGCTAGGGACGACCAATGCCAGCCTGCCTCTCAACCGTAAGTAACCTGGACATGTGGCAAATCTTCCTGCTTGTTTGTGTCCACACACATGGATTCCAAAGCCAAAAAAGCACTAAGCTGCCTTTCCCACCTTGGTTTCTTCCCAAAATACTGCTCCCACTGCATTCCTCCATGCTGGGAAGGGATGCACCCGGTGGTTTATTCCCTGCTGCAGGAGGGTTCTGTTCTGAGAGTGTTTTGGGGGGAGCAATGAGTTATGAGTCTACCAAAAAGCTCACAGCTAAACCCAGCCCACTGTGGTGTAGAGGCAGAATTTGCATGGCAACATCCTTCTGCTCAGAATAGCAATAACAGATCCCTAAGGCACCACTGGAAACACATTAGAACTTTTCCATCAAGTTCCAAGGAGTATCCTGAACTGAAGGACTTGGTGTGCCAGAGCTCTGCTCACACCTCCATTTGGTTGGTACAGAGAAGTCACAGGCACTTGAAGTGAAATCTTGTGGAAAAGACAATAGGAACTGCAAGAGGCAAAGCATTGGGATTTTCAGCGTGGAGCCTGCTTAAAATGGGTCTCAAATGTCCTGTTTGGAAGGCATTTTTATCTGTGAATTGGTGCCATTTCATTTTTTTCAGATATTTGGCCATCTGCTAGTGGCATTCAAAGATGTTCCTAGTTGAACTCTGGTGCTAATCTGTTCTGATAGTGATAAAACCAAAAGACAAACCTCCGAATAAATCCTACTCATTTTTCTCTACATAAAGATATTCCTTATTGAGCAGAAATGTAGATTTTCAGTTGTTTAAATCCTACAATTATTGCCTTCTAGCCCTGGAACTTCCTCCTGAGCACACTCCCTATATGATGTGTATTGTCACAGTATTCTAAATTCCTGCAGAAGAGACATAATAGGCAGAAAATAGCATGGAGCCTTCACTGCTATTGATTTAATACCTGAGGAATTATTAACAAAGTGGGAACGACGTTACACTCATTTTAAACAGAAAATGCAAGTGAAGACGAAGGAATATTATGCCAGAAGGAGATGGAATTTGGTGTATTTGCAATTCAGAGAAGGTAAAATGAAGCTCTGGCTTCAGCTGAGCAGAGTGGAGCTGAATCTGTCTCAGAGCTGCTGCCAGGATTCTCTCAGGCTCAAATGGTGAGGTGCCACATAGGCACCCTGGAAAAGCTCTTTGAGATGCAGGGGTTGAAAATGTCATACAAGTACCAAGTGCATTGTTCCCACCATAAAAATAGATGTTCTCAATCATGAAAGAGATGGGAGGTGTGAAGTAGAATGGTCTGAGGGGAAACACTGACATCTGGGCCTGAGCCTGACCTCAGGAAGGATATGTGGGGGTAAGGTTGGCTCAGAGCTTTGACTGAAATACCAACATGAAATGTCTCATTTCATACTATGATTCTTTTTAATCTAGTCAAAACAAGGAGAGGTTTCCAAAAGGTGATGATCTAGATTTTGGATGGAAATGAAGATCATATGGTGGAGTTTTTTCCTTGCTCATGGTTTGCATTCAGCCTGTCTAGAAAGATTATCACTTTGAAAAACAACAACTAATAATTAAGACAAATTCTCAGGGTAGCAACTTGTTAAGTGTGGACTCCTCAATCCTTCAGAGACAATTTTCTCTTGCGAAACTCTACTTGCATTTAATTTTGTTGGCAGTGACAGCAGAACATATGTTCTGGTTCAGGTATGTGCGAGGGAACTGTGAGCAGTGACTGGTTGGTTGCAACATTCAGTACTCAAATGTAGGGTTAAGGATAATTTGATCATCATGTAAATTGAAAAGGTGTTAAAAATTAGAATTGATGTCTTATTTCAGTGTGTATTTTAGCCTGTAATTACATGGTGTGGTACAGTCTGAGATGTGGAGCTGTGCCGTCCCAAGGGAAACCACCATGGGCGTGCAATGACATGGGAAGGTTATCCCAACCCACTCACAGCTACAGTGTGAGCACCTCAGACCCTGAGGGTGGATATCTGTGCTTCAAACCCTGAGTGCAGAGCACACCACCATGGTCAGGCATCAGCTCCTTGCCCAGTGTCACTGGGAAATTGCCTGCTCTTGCCCTAGAGCTTCTGTCTGCTCTTAGGCTGGGGTTTTTAAGAGAAATTGTGTAGCAGAGCTAGAAAATCTGTGGGGTTTGTATGCATATCCCCTTATAATACCCAAATGACACATAGATGCACAGCTGAGGACCTTTTTCAGGGACAGCACTAAGCTCATTCTACATTACCAGTGTCTGCATCCTGTGCAGATATAAAACTCCAGGATATTGGGAAAAGGATTATTTCTTCTCCTCTGGAGAGGGCTGTGGCTTTGTGTGATCCACAAAGTCCTAGAGCAGGTAAAGGGATGTCAGGACGAGGCACAAGCTGGCTATGCGTGTCTGGGACATGGACTGAGCCAAAGAGATAGTAGATTAATGGAGCTGTATCAAACAGTGCCTGAGGGGTGATGAGCCAGGAGGAGAACTTAGCATGGCTGTTCTCCCAGGGCCAGAGGACAACTCTGCTGCTGCTGCTGCTGCGAGCTGGGGATGCCCAGCAGAATGTCACCCACAGCCACTTCTGCCCTGGGGACAGGCATCCAGATCAGTTTGCAGAAGAACTTCATGTCTGGGGAGTTGTGATCATCCCAGATCCCACGAACATGATGGACTTTACCATCCCCCTGACTGAAGACTTGGCTGTGCCTACGATCCAGCATTAATAATGGATCCAGCAGCTGTACAAGGGAAAGCCTGAGCCTTGGGGAGGAAATGCAGGGAAGCAGTGGTTCCAAAAAATGAATAATGAATGGCAATTTACTAATTATTCATGGCTGAGTCCTCTGGATCATCCAACTGTGTTGGGTTTTGTGGGGAAGCATTTGAAGTGCGTGATCCTCCCAGAGCACCCACAGGAGGTGTGTTTGGGCAGTCCCAGCCTGGCATCTCTGGGCCTAATGGATCAGATGTTTAGCACTGCCTACACTGCCTGTTCCCAGAATTTCTGGTACTTAAGAAGAAGAAGGATGTAGTCCTTTCCTGTAAATAAAGCTTGGGTTTGCTGATTCATTAAGCCCAGGAGATAGGCGTTGCAGCGTGTGCCCAGGGCAAGAGGTTCTGTCTCCAGGGGCGAGAAGCCAGCAGGGAGTGAGGGAATAGCCTTTTTTAATTAAGCAGATTTAGCTTTTAAATTAGCAGTCTTAATTCTAGACAAAAGGCATTTTCCTGCAGACAAATTTACCAGGCCGTTGCATGGGGGTGGGAGTTGTGATTAACCATTGGCAACTGAAGGAGCTTTATTCAGGCATTTTTCTCAAGCAGACAAAACTGAATAACTTTATTCAGGCATTTTTATAAAGCAGCCACATCCTTACCCAGGTGTCTCCTGGCCTTGTGCTCTCTGCCTAGAGGCCACAGTTGGTACTGGATTTCCTACTTTCTCTTAGCACAGCTGAGTGGTGGCAGGTTTTCCCTCCCTTTCTTTGCCAAAGATGAAGGTGGAGCTGCTGCTCAGCCCCTGATCCACACAGTGAGATGTGGGGTGAGATGCTGTCCCACATGAGATGTGGGGATGACAAACTCAATTGATGAGACACTGGCACAGGTTGCCCAGGGAGGCTGTGGATGCCCCAATCCTGACAGTATTCCAAGCCAGGTTGGATAAATCCTTGAGCAACCTGCTCTGGTGGGAGGTGTCCCTGCCCAGGGCAGGGGGGTGGGACTGGATGATCTCTAAGGTCCATTCCAACCCCTTAACATACTATGATTCTGTGATTCTATGCTGCCACCACAAGTTCTTGCTGAGCTGCTGGAGATCCTGGGCCAGGCACAGGGCTCAGCTCTGCTCTGTGGCACTGGAGATCCAGACTGCATCAGTCAGGTTGTGTGTAGGGTACATTGGTTTGGTATCCTGGCTCAGTCAGAGGAGCAATGCGAACCCCATCCCTCTGCAAGCCTGGTGGGTTGCAGAGGTACTATCTCCTGTGCCTGAGCACTTTAATTAGGGCAGGAAACTGAGGGGGTCTTCAAGTCCCACATTTTTAATCAGTAGATGCCATCTACACATCTACAGAAACCATAAACCTACTTCAGACACTTCATAGGGGTGTTAAATTCACTGTGGCACGTGATCTCCATGTGTGCCTTGAAGACACATCACCTACAAAAGCCTGGTTCATGTAAGCCATCACCTTGTGGAAGACAAAAATAATCATTACTCTTCTAATAGATATGTGTGTGTATATTCTTAAGCAAAGGTATTATTTTTATGTCCTAAGGAGCACCTGCAATCCATTCCCTGGTATTTCTAGGAATATATAAATAAACCTACTGTAAAGAGGAACCTTTCCTGCAATCCAGAGGAAACATCCATGTCCATCACTAAGAGCTGCCAAAGAAATTCCTTCTTTACCTGTCTGGTTCTATGACCCAGAGGTGTCACTACTGCTCAGCTTTATACAGAAATATTAGATATACCGCCAGCAATTATGCAAAACCCATAAATAATTGTAAATTGCTGCCCAAAAGCTCAGTAGTGATGTGTGGAAGAAGGAGCCTTCCAAGGTGTGTGAGGGATGTGGTAGTATTTTCTGTGCTGATGTAATCCCTGCGGCTAAACACAACTCCTTTACTGAGTAAGCATCCAGCTGTGAACTCATGGTTAGTGCAACATGCTTATAATCTTGTCTCAAACATTCCTGCATGCTGGAAGCACCAGACCATGCCCTCAATTTCTATATGTTGCCTTCATGGCAATCAGCTCGTGGATTGATATATTTAATACATTTGGTTTCATGTCTGAAATGTAAATAAATTAATATTCTCAAAAAATTAAATTAGCTCACTATAAATTGCACATAGGATGTAATAACAAGCATGTTCCTCAGTGGCATTGTGCAGAGTTGGTGTGGTGTTGGCTACATCTACAGGAACATCAACGATGCAGAGGTTTCAAGGGTCTCTGCAGAGTGGTGTAATAGCCTTGCTATGGCACATCTCCTAAACAAGGGGACAGGCAAAC